TGTGTGACTGTGTGTGTGTGACTGTGTGTGTGTGTGTGAGTGACTGTGTGTGTGTGTGTGACTGTGTGTGTGTGTGTGACTGTGTGTGTGTGTGTGAGTGACTGTGTCTGTGTGTGTGACTGTGTGTGTGTGTGAGTGTGTGTGTGTGTGAGTGACTGTGTGTGTGTGACTGTGTGTGTGACTGTGTGTGTGTGTGACTGTGTGTGTGTGTGTGTGACTGTGTGACTGTGTGTGTGACTGTGTGTGTGTGTGACTGTGTGTGTGTGTGACTGTGTGTGACTGTGTGTGTGTGTGACTGTGACTGTGTGTGTGTGTGACTGTGTGTGTGTGAGTGACTGTGTGTGTGTGACTGTGTGTGTGTGTGTGAGACTGTGTGTGACTGTGTGTGTGAGTGACTGTGTGTGTGAGTGACTGTGTGTGTGAGTGACTGTGTGTGTGTGACTGTGTGTGTGTGTGTGACTGTGTGTGTGTGAGACTGTGTGTGTGACTGTGAGTGACTGTGTGTGTGAGTGACTGTGTGTGTGTGTGACTGTGTGTGTGTTAGTGACTGTCTGTGTGTTAGTGACTGTGTGTGTGACTGTGTGTGTGTGACTGTGTGTGACTGTGTGTGTGTGTGACTGTGTGTTAGTGACTGTGTGTGTGTGAGACTGTGTGTGAGTGACTGTGAGTGTGTGACTGTGTGTGTGACTGTGTGTGTGTGAGTGACTGTGTGTGTGTGACTGTGTGTGTGTGTGACTGTGTGTGTCTGTGACTGTGTGTGTGTGTGTGACTGTGACTGTGTGTGTGTGTGACTGTGTGTGTGTGAGTGACTGTGTGTGTGTGACTGTGTGTGTGTGAGACTGTGTGTGACTGCGTGTGTGTGTGACTGTGTGTGTGAGTGACTGTGTGTGTGTGTGTGACTGTGTGTGTGTGTGACTGTGTGTGTGTGAGACTGTGTGTGTGACTGTGAGTGACTGTGTGTGTGAGTGACTGTGTGCGTGTGTGTGACTGTGTGTGTGTTAGTGACTGTGTGTGTGTGACTGTGTGTGTGTGACTGTGTGTGTGTGTGACTGTGTGTTAGTGACTGTGTGTGTGTGAGACTGTGTGTGAGTGAGACTGTGTGTGAGTGACTGTGAGTGTGTGACTGTGTGTGTGTGAGACTGTGTTTGACTGTGTGTGTGTGTCTGTGTGTCTGTGTATGTGTGTCTGTGTGTGTGTCTGTGTGTCTGTCTGTGTGTGTGTGTCTGTGTGAGTGTGTGACTGTGTGTGTGTGTGACTGTGTGTGTGTGAGACTGTGTGTGTGTGTGTGTGAGTGTGTGTGTGTGTGACTGTGTGTGTGAGTGACTGTGTGTGTGTGTGACTGTGTGTGACTGTGTGTGTGTGTGACTGTGTGTGTTTGAGTGACTGTGTGTGTGAGTGACTGTGTGTGTGTGTGTGACTGTGTGTGTGTGTGTCTGTCTGTGTGTGTGTGTCTGTCTGTGTGTGTGTGACTGTGTGTGTGTGTGACTGTGTGTGTGTCTGTGACTGTGTGTGTGTGAGACTGTGTGTGTGAGACTGTGTGTGTGAGTGACTGTGTGTGTGTGTGTCTGTGACTGTGTGTGACTGTGTGTGACTGTGTGTGTGAGTGACTGTGTGTGTGTGACTGTGTGTGTGTGTGACTGTGTGTGTGTGAGACTGTGTGTGTGACTGTGTGTGTGTGACTGTGTGTGTGTGACTGTGTGTGTGTGACTGTGTGTGTGTGTGACTGTGTGTGTGTGTGTGAGTGACTGTGTGTGTGACTGTGTGTGTGACTGTGTGTGTCTGTGACTGTGTGACTGTGTGTGTGTGTGACTGTGTGACTGTGTGTGTGTGTGACTGTGTGTGTGTGTGAGTGACTGTGTGTGTGTGTGACTGTGTGTGTGTGACTGTGTGTGTGTGTGACTGTGTGTGTGTGTGACTGTGTGTGTGTGTGACTGTGTGTGTGTGTGACTGTGTGTGTGTGTGAGTGACTGTGTGTGTGTGTGTGACTGTGTGTGTGTGTGACTCTGTGTGTGTGAGTGTGACTGTGTGTGTGTGTGACTGTGTGTGTGTGTGTGTGACTGTGTGTGTTTGTGTGACTGTGTGTGTGTGTGTGACTGTGTGTGTGTGTGTGACTGTGTGTGTGAGTGACTGTGTGTGTGTGTGACTGTGTGTTTGAGTGACTGTGTGTGTGTGTGACTGTGTGTGTGTGACTGTGTGTGTGTGTGTGTGAGTGACTGTGTGTGTGTGACTGTGTGTGTGTGTGTGACTGTGTGTGTGTGTGACTGTGTCTGTGTGTGTGACTGTGTGTGTGTGTGTGTCTGCGCGTGTGTGTGTGACTGTGTGTGTGTCTGTGACTGTGTGTGTGTGAGTGACTGTGTGTGACTGTGTGTGTGTGTGTGTGTGTCTGTGTGTGTGTGTGTGACTGTGTGTGTGTGTGACTGTGTGTGTGTGACTGTGTGTGTGTGTGTGACTGTGTGTCTGTGTGTGTGTGTGAGTGTGACTGTGTGTGTGTGTGTGACTGTGTGTGTGAGTGACTGTGTGTGTGTGTGAGTGACTGTGTGTGTGTGTGACTGTGTGTGTGTGTGTGTGACTGTGTGTGTGAGTGACTGTGTGTGTGACTGTGTGTGTGTGTGTGTGACTGTGTGTGTGTGTGAGTGACTGTGTGTGTGTGTGTGTGTGACTGTGTGTGTGTGTCTGTGTGTGTGTGTGACTGTGTGTGTGTGTCTGTGTGTGTGCGTGTGACTGTGTGTGTGTGTGTGTGACTGTGTGTGTGTGTGAGTGACTGTGTGTGTGTGACTGTGTGTGTGTGTGTGTGAGTGACTGTGTGTGTGTGTGACTGTGTGTGTGTGTGTGACTGTGTGTGTGTGTGACTGTGTGTGTGTGTGAGTGACTGTGTGTGTGAGTGACTGTGTGTGTGTGACTGTGTGTGTGTGTGACTGTGTCTGTGTGACTGTGACTGTGTGTGTGTGTGTGACTGTGTGTGTGTGACTGTGTGTGTGTGTGTCTGTGTGTGTGTGTCACTGTGTGTGTGTGACTGTGTGTGTGTGTGTGTGGCAAGGATTATTCAGCATCGCCTTGCCAGGCACGCTGAGGAGAGGCTTGCGGAGCCCCAATGCGGTTTCAGGAAAGGGCGGTCCTGCACAGATGCCATATTTTCTGTCCGTCTGCTACAGCAGAGGTGTAGGGAATTCCAACAAGACCTACATCTCTGCTTTATTGACCTGGTCAAGGCCTATGATACCATCAGTAGGCCTGGGCTCTGGGTCGTTCTTCGTGCTTTTGGAGTACCTGACCCTCTGCTCACGATCATTAAGGACCTTCATGATGGTGAGCGGGCCCGGGTAAAACTACGTGGCCGGGAGTCAGAGCCATTCCCTGTACACCTTGGGGTGCGACAGGGATGTCCTCTGGCTCCCACATTATTTAACATCTATTTTGACCACGTAGTTCGTGAAGCCTTCAATAGCTGTACCGGGGGAATCTCCATATGGTACAGATATAATGGGAGGCTAATCGATGCCCGGGTGCGGTCAAGGGATGGCTCCCTATTGCTCAACCACGTTATGTATGCTGATGACTTGGTAATAGCTGCTCAGTCAGAGGAGGAGTTGGAGACGCTGCTGCTGAGACTGGAGCGTGCCACTAAGAGGTGGGGCCTTACCATCAGCCCCACCAAAACCAAGCACCTGCCTGGGTATTTTGTACCATCGGACACTCCACCCCCACAACTCCCAATCGGTGATGGGGCAGTTGTGGAGAGAGTGGAGAGTTTCCCATACCTGGGCAGTGTGCTTATGACTGGCACCAGTTTAACAGCAGAGGTCTCACTCCGAATCAGTCGAGCGGCAATATCTTTTCATCGGTTGCGTAACGCTGTGTGGAAGCTACCTGGTCTGTCGCTCCGCACTAAGCTTCAGGTCTTCTCGGCCACGGTCATTCCCTCCCTTCTCTACGCTTGCGAAACGTGGACCCCCCTAATGGAACATCTTCGCCGGTTAGAAACATTTAGGCTGGCCTGCCTACGATCCATCCTGGGTTTAACCAGACTGGATTGTGTGAGGAGCTCACAAATCCTTGAAAGATCTGGGCAGGGTCCCATCGGTGAGCTCCTCCGGCAGGCAAGGCTGCGATGGCTGGGTCATGTAGCCCGCATGCCCAGCCACCGCATGCCGAAACAGCTTTTGTTTGGCCGGATTGAGGGGGCTAAGCGGGCGCGGCACGGGCTAGAGAAGAGATGGAGTGATGTGGTACAGGAGGACGTGGAGCTGAGTGGACTTGCCGATGACTGGTACCAGCGGTGTCAAGATCGGCCTCTGTGGAGGAGGCTCGTGAAGGATGCTACTGGGCAGTTGGAGGCAGTCGCCCTCCAACAACAACGGAGGGCGGAGGAGCGACGCTCACAACAGCGAGCGGAGCGCCGGGTGGCTAAAGCACAGCAGGTTGGCACAGTAGGGGGCACAGGTGGTGCATCAGCCAGTCATCTCAGTCAGTCGACCCGTGGCACCTGGGTCTGCCCCGTGACCTCCTGCCAGCGGGCGTTCGACACTTCACGTGGCCTCAGGGTGCACATAGCCTGGCACAAGCGTCGTGGTGACGTCACCGCCACTTAGTGGCGAATGGCGGTTGTTGTTGTTGTTGTTGTGTGTGTGTGTGTGTGACTGTGTGTGTGTGTGTGTGACTGTCTGTGTGTGTGTGTGAGTGACTGTGTGTGTGTGTGTCTGTGTGTGTGTGTGTGACTGTGTGTGTGTGTGACTGTCTGTGTGTGTGTGTGACTGTGTGTGTGTGTGTGACTGTCTGTGTGTGTGTGTGAGTGACTGTGTGTGTGTGTGTGTGACTGTGTGTGTGTGTGTGACTGTGTGTGTGACTGTGTGTGTGTGTGTGTGTGACTGTGTGTGTGTGTGACTGTGTGTGTGTGTGTGTGACTGTGTGTGTGTGTGACTGTGTGTGTGTGACTGTGTGTGTGTGTGTGACTGTGTGTGTGTGTGTGTGACTGTGTGTGTGTGTCTGCGCGTCTCCGGCAGGCAAACTCTAAGAAGATGCTTGGCAGCAGGAAGAGTTTTGACCACCTGCTGTCCGACAACAGCAACAGCAGCAGCAGCAGCTCCTGCTGCTCCAAGCCGCACAAGCGACAGGAGAGCGACGTCACCGGCGGTGCGGTCACCACACCGCCCAAGATGCGCAAAGTGGGCGAGCCTCACTACAAGCCCGGTGAGACGCTCACCGGGACGCTCACCGGGACGCTCACCAGGACACTCACCAGGATACTCACCGGGACACTCACAAGACACTCACCAGGATGCTCACCGGCACGCTCACCGGGACACTCACCGGGACACTCACCGGGACACTCACCAGGACACTCACCAGGACGCTCACCGGGACGCTCACCGGGACGCTCACCGGGACACCAGGACACTCACCGGGACACTCACCGGGACACTCACCGAGACACTCACCGGGACACTCACCGGGACGCTCACCGGGATACCAGGATGCTCACCGGGACACTCACTGAGACACTCACCGGGACACCAGGACACTCACCGGGACACTCACCGAGACACTCACCGGGACACTCACCGAGACGCTCACCGAGACGCTCACCGGGACACTCACCGGGACGCTCACCGGGACGCTCACCGGGACACTCACCGGGACACCAGGACACTCACCGGGACACCAGGACACTCACCGGGACACTCACCGGGACACTCACCGAGACACTCACCGGGACACTCACCGGGACGCTCACCGGGATACCAGGATGCTCACCGGGACACTCACTGAGACACTCACCGGGACACCAGGACACTCACCGGGACACTCACCGGGACACTCACCGAGACACTCACCGGGACGCTCACCGAGACGCTCACCGGGACGCTCACCGGGACGCTCACCGGGACGCTCACCGGGACGCTCACCGGGACACTCACCGGGACACCAGGACACTCACCGGGACACCAGGACACTCACCGGGACACTCACCGGGACACTCACCGGGACACTCACCGGGACACTCACTGGATGCTCGCTGATCCGCTCTATCACCTTCACACTCACTCAGTGCGTCTCCCAGCCCTACCTACTCACTCACTCACTGTGCGTGGTGTGTGTGTGTGTGTGGTGTGTGTGTGGTGTGTGTGTGTGGTGTGTGTGTGGTGTGTGGTGTGTGTGTGTGGTGTAAGTGTGGTGTGTGTGCGGTGTGTGTGTGGTGTGTGTGTGGTGTGTATGGTGTGTGTGTGGTGTGTGTGGTGTGTGTGGTGTGTGTGTGGTGTGTGTGGTGTGTGTGTGGTGTGTGTGTGGTGTGTGTGTGGTGTGTGGTGTGTGTGTGTGTGGTGTGTGGTGTGTGTGTGTGGTGTGTGTGTGTGGTGTGCGGTGTGTGTGGTGTGTGTGTGGTGTGTGTGTGTGGTGTGTGTGTGTGTGGTGTGTAGGTGGTGTGTGTGTGGTGTGTGTGTGGTGTGTGTGGTGTGTGGTGTGTGTGTGGTGTGTGTGTGGTGTGTGTGGTGTGTGGTGTGTGTGTGTGGTGTGTGTGTGGTGTGTGTGGTGTGTGGTGTGTGTGTGTGGTGTGTGGTGTGTGTGTGTGGTGTGTGTGTGTGTGGTGTGCGGTGTGTGTGGTGTGTGTGTGGTGTGTGTGTGGTGTGTGTGGTGTGTGTGTGTGTGTGTGGTGTGTGGGTGGTGTGTGTGTGGTGTGTGTGTGGTGTGTGGTGTGTGTGGTGTGTGTGTGTGTGTGGTGTGTGTGTGGTGTGTGTGTGGTGTGTGTGTGTGTGTGGTGTGTGTGTGGTGTCTGTGTGTGTGTGTGGTGTGTGTGTGGTGTGTGTGTGTGTGTGGTGTGTGTGTGGTGTGTGTGTGGTGTGGTGTGTGTGGTGTGCGTGTGATGTGTGTGTGTGTGTATGTATGTGTGACTGTGTGACTGTGTGTGTGACTGTGTGTGACTGTGTGTGACTGTGTGTGACTGACTGTGTATGTGTGACTGTAGGTGACTGACTGTGTGACTGTGTGTGTGTGTGTGACTGTGTGTGACTGTGTGTGATTGACTGTGTGTGTATGTGTGACTGTATATGTGTGTGTGACTGTATGACTGTGTGTGACTGTGTGTGACTGTGTGTGACTGACTGTGTGTGTGTGACTGTGTGTGACTGTGTGTGACTGTGTGTATGTGTGACTGTATATGTATGTGTGACTGTGTGTGACTGACTGTGTGTGACTGACTGTGCTGGCTAAAGTGGCCCCTCGGGATAGAGTCATCATGTTGGGTGACTTCAATGCCCGAGTTGGTCATGATACTGGCACCTGGTCTGGAGTGATTGGAGGGCATGGGCCAGATCAGCTCAATAACAACGGTAGGAGGCTGCTAGATTTTTGTGCAGCCCATGGGCTTGTAATTACCAACACGCTGTTCCGGCATCGGCGCATCCACACAACATCATGGATGCATGCCGGGTCCAAGCAAGAACATCTGCTGGACTACATAGTGACGGACCAGCGAATGCGAGCCCATGTCCTTGACACCAGGACCTACCGTGGAGCTGATCTGCCCTCTGACCATCGACTAGTCATCTGTAAGATGCGCCTGCCATTCTTCCACTCCGGTGGTGGGTGTACACCCAGGACCCCATTCCAACCTAAAGTGGCCTGGTCTCAGTTATCTGATGAAAGTTGCAAGCGAGAATTTCATCATCGCTTGCGGCTGGGATTGGCATCGTCCCCGACTCCTCCTGATGTCGAGGGTAAATGGGCGAGGTTTAGGACTGTGACTCATGCAGCTGCAATGGCTGCTTTGGGTACGCGGTCCAGACCTCCCCAGACACCCTGGATGACAGAGGAGTTGTTCAGGATGGTTGAGAAAAAGCGACAGGCCCACTGTCATCGGCTACAGAATCCCACGTCAGAGAATGAGGAGGCTTACCGCAGCCTTCGCTCGGAGGTTCGGAGAGCCGTGAGGCGCTGCAAGGATGGGTGGTGGTCGCGGGTTGCTGAGGAGATGGAGTCTGCCTCAGTGGCCCGTGATCACAAATCGCTATTTAACTCCATCAAAAAAGTAACCTGCAGCGCCACACCTATTACCATCATTAGGGGAAAAAACGGTGATCCAATTTCCGACCCCCAGGAACAGGTTCGCAGATTTGCTGAGCATTTCTGTGAGGTCCTGGGGGAGGGAAAATCCCACAGCCAGGAAAACATCGTGGCACAAAGTGAGGATGACCCTGCTGAGGCTGCGGTGCCTCAAATATTGGATGAAGTCACCCCCTGTGAGTGGCTGGCTGAGGTGCCATCTGCTGAGGAAGTATTGAAGGCGATCCGGAGTCTGAGACCAGGAAAGGCAGCGGGCAGAGATGATCTCCCAAGCGAAATGCTGAGGGAGGGTGGCGTTTGTGCACAGACTGCCCTATATGACATCATAACAACAGTCTGGACCACTGGACGGGTTCCGCAGGATTGGAAGGATGCCCTGGTGGTCCCCCTTTTTAAGAAGGGGGACCGCACAGACTGTAACAACTACAGGGGCATCTCACTCCTCAGTGTGCCGGGAAAGGTCCTGGCAAGGATTATTCAGCATCGCCTTGCCAGGCACGCTGAGGAGAGGCTTGCGGAGCCCCAATGCGGTTTCAGGAAAGGGCGGTCCTGCACAGATGCCATATTTTCTGTCCGTCTGCTACAGCAGAGGTGTAGGGAATTCCAACAAGACCTACATCTCTGCTTTATTGACCTGGTCAAGGCCTATGATACCATCAGTAGGCCTGGGCTCTGGGTCGTTCTTCGTGCTTTTGGAGTACCTGACCCTCTGCTCACGATCATTAAGGACCTTCATGATGGTGAGCGGGCCCGGGTAAAACTACGTGGCCGGGAGTCAGAGCCATTCCCTGTACACCTTGGGGTGCGACAGGGATGTCCTCTGGCTCCCACATTATTTAACATCTATTTTGACCACGTAGTTCGTGAAGCCTTCAATAGCTGTACCGGGGGAATCTCCATATGGTACAGATATAATGGGAGGCTAATCGATGCCCGGGTGCGGTCAAGGGATGGCTCCCTATTGCTCAACCACGTTATGTATGCTGATGACTTGGTAATAGCTGCTCAGTCAGAGGAGGAGTTGCAGACGCTGCTGCTGAGACTGGAGCGTGCCACTAAGAGGTGGGGCCTTACCATCAGCCCCACCAAAACTAAGCACCTGCCTGGGTATTTTGTACCATCGGACACTCCACCCCCACAACTCCCAATCGGTGATGGGGCAGTTGTGGAGAGAGTGGAGAGTTTCCCATACCTGGGCAGTGTGCTTATGACTGGCTCCAGTTTAACAGCAGAGGTCTCACTCCGAATCAGTCGAGCGGCAATATCTTTTCATCGGTTGCGTAACGCTGTGTGGAAGCTACCTGGTCTGTCGCTCCGCACTAAGCTTCAGGTCTTCTCGGCCACGGTCATTCCCTCCCTTCTCTACGCTTGCGAAACGTGGACCCCCCTAATGGAACATCTTCGCCGGTTAGAAACATTTAGGCTGACCTGCCTACGATCCATCCTGGGTTTAACCAGACTGGATTGTGTGAGGAGCTCACAAATCCTTGAAAGATCTGGGCAGGGTCCCATCGGTGAGCTCCTCCGGCAGGCAAGGCTGCGATGGCTGGGTCATGTAGCCCGCATGCCCAGCCACCGCATGCCGAAACAGCTTTTGTTTGGCCGGATTGAGGGGGCTAAGCGGGCGCGGCACGGGCTAGAGAAGAGATGGAGTGATGTGGTACAGGAGGACGTGGAGCTGAGTGGACTTGCCGATGACTGGTACCAGCGGTGTCAAGATCGGCCTCTGTGGAGGAGGCTCGTGAAGGATGCTACTGGGCAGTTGGAGGCAGTCGCCCTCCAACAACAACGGAGGGCGGAGGAGCGACGCTCACAACAGCGAGCGGAGCGCCGGGTGGCTAAAGCACAGCAGGTTGGCACAGTAGGGGGCACAGGTGGTGCATCAGCCAGTCATCTCAGTCAGTCGACCCGTGGCACCTGGGTCTGCCCCGTGACCTCCTGCCAGCGGGCGTTCGACACTTCACGTGGCCTCAGGGTGCACATAGCCTGGCACAAGCGTCGTGGTGACGTCACCGCCACTTAGTGGCGAATGGCGGTTGTTGTTGTTGTGTGTGTGTGTGACTGTGTGTGACTGACTGTGTGTGTGTGTGACTGTATGACTGTGTGTGACTGTGTGTGACTGACTGTGTGACTGTGTGTGACTGTGTGTGACTGTGTGACTGACTGTGTGTGACTGTGTGTGACTGACTGTGTGTGTGTGTGACTGTATGACTGTGTGTGACTGTGTGTGACTGACTGTGTGTGTGTGTGTGACTGTGTGTGACTGTGTGTGACTGTGTGTGACTGTGTGACTGTGTGTGACTGTGTGTATGTGTGACTGTATATGTATGTGTGTATGTGTGTGTGACTGTGTGACTGTGTGTGACTGTGTGTGACTGACTGTGTGTGACTGTGTGTGACTGTGTGTGACTGTGTATGTGTGACTGTATGTGTATGTGTATGTGTGACTGTATGACTGTGTGTGTATGTGTGTGTGTGTGACTGTGTGTGACTGACTGTGTGTGACTGTGTGTGACTGTGTGTGACTGACTGTGTGTGTGTGTGACTGTGTGTGACTGTGTGTGACTGTGTGTGTGACTGTGTGTGACTGACTGTGTGTGACTGACTGTGTGTGTGTGTGTGACTGTGTGTGTGACTGTGTGTGACTGTGTGTGACTGTATGACTGTGTGACTGTGTGACTGTGTGTGACTGTGTGACTGTGTGTGACTGACTGTGTGTGTGTGTGTGCTGTGAACACCCCCAGACCCCCACTGTGTGTGACTGTGTGTGACTGACTGTGTGTGTGTGTGACTGTATGACTGTGTGTGACTGTGTGACTGACTGTGTGTGTGTGTGTGCTGTGAACACCCCCAGACCCCCACTGTGTGTGACTGTGTGTGACTGACTGTGTGTGACTGTATATGTATGTGTGACTGTGTGTGACTGACTGTGTGTGTGTGTGTGTGACTGTATGACTGTGTGTGACTGTGTGTGACTGTGTGACTGTGTGTGACTGTGTGTGACTGTGTGTGACTGACTGTGTGTGTGTATGTGTGACTGTATATGTATGTGTGACTGTGTGTGACTGACTGTGTGTGTGTGTGACTGTGTGTGACTGACTGTGTGACTGTGTATGTGACTGTGTGACTGGCTGTGTGACTGTATGACTGTGTGTGACTGTGTGTGACTGACTGTGTGTGTGCTGTGAACACCCCCAGACCCCCACTGTGTGTGACTGTGTGTGACTGTGTGTGACTGTGTATGTGTGACTGTATATGTGTGTGTGACTGTGTGTGTGTGTATGTGTGACTGTGTGTGACTGTGTGTGACTGTGTGACTGACTGTGTGTGTGTGTGACTGTGTGTGTGACTGTGTGTGACTGACTGTGTGTGTGTGACTGTGTGTGTGTGACTGTGTGTGTGTGACTGTGTGTGTGACTGTGTGACTGTGTGTGACTGTGTGTATGTGTGACTGTGTGACTGTGTGTGACTGTATATGTATGTGTGACTGTGTGTGTATGTGTGACTGTATATGTATGTGTGACTGTGTGTGACTGTGTGTGACTGACTGTGTGTGTGTGTGTGTGACTGTGTGTGTGTGACTGTGTGTGTCTGTGTGTGTGTGTGAGACTGTCTGTGACTGTGTGTGACTGTGTGTGACTGACTGTATATGTGTGTGTGACTGTGTGTGACTGACTGTGTGTGTGTGTGACTGTGTGTGACTGTGTGTGACTGTGTGTGTGTGACTGTGTGTGACTGACTGTGTGTGTGTGCTGTGAACACCCCCAGACCCCCACTGTGTGTCCCAGCCTCCGCACCTGCGCAAGTTGTCCACGTCCGAGGCCAACGTCCTCCTGGACGAAGAGATCCTCACTGACACGCGGTGCCAGGCCCTCCTGCTCACCGTGCTGGTGAGCGTCACGCTCACCACACGCTCACCACCACGCTCACCACCACTCACAACCACACTCACCGTGCTGGTGAGCGTCACGCTCACCCACACGCTCACCACCACGCTCACCACCACGCTCACCACCACTCACAACCACGCTCGCCACACGCTCACCACCACGCTCACCACCACTCACAACCACGCTCACCACCACACTCACACACACGCTCACCCACACGCTCGCCCACACGCTCACCCACACGCTCACCACCACACTCACAACCACGCTCACCCACACGCTCACCACCACGCTCACCACCACACTCACCACCACACTCACCCACATGCTCGCCCACACGCTCACCGTGCTGGTGAGCGTCACGCTCACCCACACGCTCACCACACGCTCACCAACACTCACAACCACGCTCGCCACACGCTCACCCACTCGCTCACCCACACGCTCACCCGCACGCTCACCCGCACGCTCGCCCACACGCTCACCACACGCTCACCACACGCTCACCACCACGCTCACCACCACTCACAACCACGCTCGCCACACGCTCACCAC